GCCGTTTAGTGGAGAAAGTGAATACTGCTGAATACACATACTTTACAGAGATGCTGTATGCAAAACCAATGTGAGTTTGGAAAATTGCACAGTATTTTTCTATTTTAGTATACCTCAACAATGGAATTATGATCAGTGGAAATGGCCATGACATGTGACCTTTAAAATAAATAAATGCTATAAATTAAGATGAATAATGTCAATTTTGTTTATAAACTGGCTGTTATCTTTAGGATAGCCACTTATACCATGTTACACTATAAGCTAGGGTATCCAGCAACTTGTAAATTAAAATAGTTTTTAAAAGGCAGGACTGTCTATGGAGTACAAAATGTCATAAACTACCTGACCTGCACTCCATGCTTATATATTGTGCAATCGTTTGATAAGCACATTACAGGTTATCAAATGTGCTTTGAAAAGGTCATACACAGGTCAGCTCTGTGTTGGGAACCGTAGGTTGAACTTGAGCTGAACCTCTCCATCCATCACTTAGCTTGCTGATTTAAAAAGGATTATTGTATCCATTGCATGTATATGCAAGAGTAGTGTCTGAGGTTTGGGGATTTAATGGGACTTAACGGTGACATATTTCTATTTGTGTGTGTGTAATACTGATATACTAAGAGCACGCACAGGAGGTCCATCAGCTCCAGGTAATCCAGCCAATCCCGACCTGCCGTGAGGTCCCTGTATGGAGAAAAGAAAAATACATATAAGTTCAAAGGTCAGAGGTTACTAGTTTCAGAACACTATATTACCTAGGTCTATTGAGGTTTAATTAAGAGTATCTCAGACTTACAAAAAAGCGAAACATAAAACATTTTAGCGTTCATTTCCTTTGTTACCTGGAGTTGGCTTTAAGAGAGCAGACTGTCACTGATTAAACGTAGCTAATGAAATGTGTTTAATATCATATGTTTTGCTTAAAATAAAAAGCAGGAAACGTAATGCCAAGTTGTACTAACAATAACTTTGATCTTTTAAAATGATAATAATGATCCGCATACAGTATGATAATATGGTGTAAATTAAACAACGTTAAATCATTGTGACACATACAGTATATTGTGCTCAGATTTTATTTGTACTTTTTCACATACTATAACAAGAAATAAAGGTTACATACTTTTTCCCCAGGTGGTCCAATAGGGCCTTGGGGGCCAGGAAGACCCTATAAGAAAGAGACAGTAAGTATGTTGCTATAGTTACAACACACATACAAAGTATTCTCAAACACACATACAAGTTAGATGTTTGTGAGGCTTGTACCTTTGTGTGTGTGTGTGTGTGTGTGTGTGTGTGTGTGTGTCACAGGGGTAATTTGAGGCACTGAAGCTTGCCCCAACAGGTGTGGCAGCTTTGCAGGAATTCCACCAACATGAATAAGATGCTTTCAACTGGATCAACCCCGAAACATTCCCCTTTCCAAGATAAAACCCTGAAAAATATTTGACAAAATGTTTTTGGGGGGTGCATGCGTGTGTGTGCAAATAAATCTAAAGTAAATCTTATTTGCTCTGTGTGCGGAGTTAGTGGAGCACGATATAAACACTCATGAGGCACAAAACAGAATGTATCTGTGGCCACTCCACTGTATAAAGAGATTATGATGCATTTACAGGCAGTGCAGTTTGTATATATTCCTTTGTCTTAGGTGTCATGTATGATTGATTTGTTCACCTGTGTGCCAGGGATTCCTTGCTGCCCGGGTGGGCCTGGCTCTCCTTGTGGTCCCTGAAAAAAAAATGAAAATGTCAAACACAACAGTAGGCCCAGACTAATCTGGTTTCCCAAAAACTGCCACATGAATAACTCACATTAAAGTCATTGTTAGCAACCTGATGGGTACCATAATACTTGAAATGAGCTGTTTGAGGATCAACCTATTCCACAAATGATTTGACGACATAGTTTAAAGAAGTGTTTTGGTGTATACTACTCTCACTGCCTCATCTACTCCAACATGAATGCCTGTCAGTTTACCTCTTAACTAAATGGGGCTGTGAACCTATTCTATTGTGACCTGATGTGACCACTTTGTTAAATGTTTTCAAAGGCTTATTTATTTATTAGCTGTTGAACATTTCACACCTTGCCAGTTAAACTTGCCACACTACTTTACTTCTCTAAGGTCTGACCTTTGAACTCCAGCTAACCAAGACAGTGCAAAAACAGTCATGTACAGCTCACACATCCCCCTGAAACTCTGCCTAGTGAGTTTATCAAGCAACATACAGTATTTATCAGTTTAGTAAGAGTAAGTTGTGTTTATACCATGTTTCCTTTTGGACCTGAAGGTCCGTCAACTCCAGCAACACCCTGCGAAGGACAGGTGAGAAGAGACTCGTGAATATCTTATATATACAGTATATATTGTATCCATTCATAAAATGATACCAGGGATAGGTATGTTAAAGGAAATGGTACGTACAGGAGATCCAGGGGGTCCGGGAGAACCGCGAGGTCCCAGCAAACCTCTAGGACCCTATGAAAAATCAGAAGCAATGTCTTGTATGAATGAATACATTTTATCAGGGTAATTGTGTCCTCTGGTGGATACTTTTATCAATGAGAGATCAGACATCATTGTGATGTTAGGATTGAAGGCGATTTTGTTCCAACACATTATAATCACATGTTTTGGATAGCCTGATAAAACCAAACCAACAGCAGCCTTACACTCTCGCCAGCTAATCCTCGTGGCCCAATCTCTCCATCCTCGCCCTAAGGGTAGAAAAAGGTCAAAGGTAAAAGATTACATGTATTGAATTGGTCTTTATCACACAGGTTTATTGTTTCATTTAAACAAATACAATCTGAACAGTAAATATCTATCACCATATTTAGTCCTCAAAGGCCTGTACTAGGTAAGGCTTATTCTCAACCTAACCAATATTATTGAATGCAGTAACTGCCTGGGGGTGGAGGTGGATGTTATTGTGGGGTAGTTAGTTTCATAGGGACGAAAGGTTAAACACAAACCCTCCTCCTTCCAAGTTAATAGTCTCCGCCCAGCTGCCGCTGCCTGAGGGCTGAGCTGGCGGACCACAGCTAAAGGAGCTGACTGTAGTGGTTCCTCTAAGTTGAGGGCAATTTGCTTATAATTTATCAGGGCTTTAGTAAAACAAAAACAAAAAGTACTTACTCTCTGTCCATCCTCTCCAGGAGATCCTGTGGGTCCCATTGGTCCTAGCTCCCCCTGAATAGAGACACAGATAAATAATAACAAAGATGAGAAAGAGAGACAGATTTAGTTTAGATACGGGAATAAATCAACTCTGGGCTTGTTACCACTTACCGGTGTAATACTTTTTTCCATTTCTTACATATTACTTTACATATTCTGCCTAATACGTTGTTTTCATTTTTAAACTCAATAATAATTATGCTGTATCTCATTCAATATAGTTTCTAATCATACTGTTTTACTCATGGGCCCTGCCGTGGTGCCCTTGAGCAAGGCACCGGGCAACCCCCTTCCCCCCACACTCCCATTTGTCCCCGGGCGCTGTACAATAGCTGACCACTGCTCATAGTACTAGACTTCTGGTACTAGGATGGGTTAAATGCAGAGGCCAAATGTCACTGTGTGTGCTGTGTGCTCTGCATGTGTGACCATTAACGAGGGGTTCCATCCCTCCCATTCTATTCTATGTGTTAATAGTAGGTTACTTAAAAACCTTCATCATTCTTGTGTAACGCTTGTGTTTTGTTGTTCATATATGTTGCTATTGCATCTCCCTAATGTAGGATTTGTAAATATCAGTAGATTTTATCAGGCTCAGTAATAAAAGATACTTGATTTCTATGTATCCGCCCTCCACAGTGAAGTCCTCCCTGCATCCAACTTTATAAACTACAGCTTATTTTACAAACTTGGAATACATTAAATATGGCTAACCAGCTTTGATACAAAACTGTCATCACATTCTTCCATGTAACAGTTAATAATGTAGGCATATTAGTGGAATGAAACCAATTACAACTTCTCGTTCCATAATTTCCCCCATGTCATTGCAGTATTCCCTCATCACACTGAAATGTATGCAACTCACTCAACATGATCTCTGACCAGTGACCGCAGCCAGATATATTTCATTACATCTAAAATGCTTGCCCTCTTAAAGCTACCCAACCCTCCAGTAAATCATAGTAATCTAAGAATACAAATCCCCAATAACTAAAGGATTTCATTTTAAGGCCAATTTTGCGTCTTATCAAATAAAGAAACGTTGTTTTTGCTCATAAGCTTTCATAATCCTAAAAACATCTACAGGAGTCATTTTTCAGGCAAACATTACTCTGTTGTTCATGAGGATTCCAAAAAACAAATCTGGTTTATTATTACTTTCAATGGACATATTTCACAGGTATTCTACTTCCGTGGAATCAGCAACAGTAAAAGACTTCAAAAACTGTTCAGTTTGATCACAACTGGTCACAACTACCATGCTTTACTTACCCTGTGTCCCTTTTCACCAGGCAGGCCGGGAAGTCCATCAAAGCCTCTGTCACCCTGTAAGGAAACACAGCAGAGGATGTTACCAGACCGCACAGCACCATCACACATCAAAGTCATCATGCACTGCACAATGCAGGGAGCAATGCTGTATGACAGTAATACACATGAACAGTTGTGTGTTGTCATGGGTTACCTTGGATCCTGACTCTCCAGGCATTCCACGGGATCCGTCAGCTCCGGCACGACCCTGGAAACATTAGCAGAATAATTACACATCTAGATAAAGACATACATTTGTTAGTGGTGAGTTGAAGGAAAAAGCTTTTAAGATGATACGAAGTCGTTTTATGGTGTTGGATTGTGCAGGTCTTGCCAGAAATATGAAAAATTAAATCTGCTTAATATTTCTTCAATCACTCTAAAGCATTAGATAATGTTGGCACTAAAAGTGCAGGTAATAGAGAAAAGTAATGCTGGCTGACACATATTGGTGTTAAACGAAGTATTAAACTCAATATACAAATCAATTAATCAATCAAGAGGTGTTGCTAAGGAAGAGTGGTAATCTGAAGCCTACTGCCATTATACATTACTGATGAAATGCTGAATTGATAACTGCTGATAAGAACAGTAAGCACGCAAAAAAAAGACAGACGAAATATATTTCTCCTTATATTACTCAGATTTTCTGTTGCATCTGTTTATACAATCCTTTGAAACAATAACCTTTTCCCTTTTTATTCTTTAATAAAAGAAGTAAGAACAACTGTACCAATAAAGCAGGAGATGAACAAGTAATAAATGAAAATTCACATAGGAGATACTTTTCATCATATTTAATGTCGTCAAAATCAGCGGCTTTGTGAATGATACTTAACAGTCATATAAACATTCAAAAACATTCCTTTGTGGTTATTAAATTGTCATTTATATTTTTAACTGTTCAAATAAAGTGTTTCCTAATGTTTATTAGTAATCAATTTGGTCAAAAGTTTAGCCATGCAGAGGGGCTACACTACGCACTATCTTTGTCCCAAATCCAAAGCCAGTTTTCCCATTTAGGCATTTTCAGACAGATTTGCTGCCTGGCCATTGATCCGAGGATTGGAGTGCAGGCCTTTAAGCACATATCAAGCAATTATTTGTTGGATTGGAAATAAGCCTCTCAGCGTTTGAGCAGTGACCACAAGTACAAACAACCACGCAACAACAAACACAGAGACATGTGAGCACACACACACAGAACCGTGAGAGTTGAGCAGGTCAGCGAGTACACTCACCCTCTTGCCAGCTTTGCCAGGTTGTCCTGCAGGCCCTTGGATGCCACGGGGGCCCTGTACAGACACATGAGGACCACTTAGTGACAGAGAACTAATAACCTGGGAAGTTGCCTTCAATCGCTAGTGAGGGATTTCATGTTTGCATTATTAGGATCATCTCTTCACCTGAGGACCATGGTCTCCACCTTCACCTTTAAGTCCATGAGAACCAGGAAGACCCTAAGAAGAGGAAACACAAAACAAACATTAATACTTTGTATTTAAATTGGGAATGTGCAGTTTGCTACAGGGACGAGAAAATAAAAATTGCGCAAATTAAACAGCAGATGGCGATGTTTAGCTCAGTGTGTGCATTCTGTTTGTGTGTTCATCCGAAGAAAAACGCATCCACACATTCCTGTTACTACAGATGCATGAAGTACCTGAGAAAAGTGATGACATTCAAAGACAAAAGAATACTTTAAAGTCTTATAAAGCACTCTTCTATGAAAAGCTTCTAAAAATATTGGATTATTTGCCGCTGGCACAAGCATTGATGTTATTTGGATGTAGAACTTGTGTTTAAAGTTAAAAGACAAGCAGGCACATCAACAAAACAGGGTTTCTTTTAGCATATGTTATACTTAGGTGGGAAGAGAATTGGGGAATATACTATAATCGGTCTGCGGACAAGTGTGGATTCAAAGCTGGTGTTTTGGCAATGACAGACAGAAGTTTTACAATCATAAATAGATTGAATGTCTGAAAATGTGGGTTTTAAACATGTTATCAATCAAAAAGGAAAACTTTCTGGAGAGGTACATTACATTTCCTTATCTCATCCACTTTGCTTTGTATCTATGTATTGCCATATCATTTAGGATCATTTTTCTTGGCCTTGAGTCTGAGGAGAGCAGATTTAACAGAGGGTAATTCTTGTGTCTTTTGTATGGGACTTTTCCTGCAGATAAATAGTGGATCTTGTATCAACAAGCCCAGGAGAAAGGAGGAGTGATTTTCTTGGCAGCTGCTTGCCCCGGCACACAGGCAGTGTGGCCACTGAGCCACCAACCATTAATACAACAACACTTCTCAACTGGTTTCTGGACTCTTCCAATACATTGTCCGGAAAATACTAAGATGGTCATTCTTAGACAATGCAGAACTGTCGACAGCGCGTTTGAATAAAAAAAAAAAAATTCAGAAATATTGGTTTGTGTTTGATAAAATGATAATCACACCCATCACATGCACCTATCACAGGATGAGTAATAAACAACTGGTGGAGAACAAAAATAGTGTATTTCTAAATTCCTACAAACCAAAGAAAAAGCAGACTTACCACTGGTCCTGATCTTCCTGTCAAACCCATCGGCCCTGAGGGTCCCCTCATGGCCAGCTGTAGGTCAGACGCACAGACAAGAAAAATGTCAAAGGTCCACCAAACCTCATCAAAACATTTATTCTATATCCATTTTTAGAAGGAAACTCCACTTTCCAAATTGATCACATATTATGTGTTTTCACCAGTTTGTATAATTGTTCACACTTTTATAGTTTTGTTCCCTTGTACGGCTTGAATTCTATACACAATAACTTGTTCATCTTAAAACGATATTAGTAATTTCGATGAACTCTTCTTGCATGTTGTTGTTACGTGCCTAATTGATTCTGTCATTACTTGCTTTTTACTTTGGGTTATTGTTGTTGATAAGTATTTACTGTTTTATAACAGAATCCAATCAAGGAAAAATAAATAAAAATAAATATGATGGCTAATATGAAATGTGTTTAATGTGGTGGTGTCCAAAATATATGTTATTGTTGTCATGATAGGCAAATGGCCAATCATATTTCATATTAGCAATTACATATTCCAATTGGACATTTACCTTTAAGCAAAACTTTTTTTTTTTACAAAGATATATATTTTATTTTGTAAAACTTGCTTATTCTGCTTGCATAGTGTTTAACAAAGGTTCTTCAGTGCAAAACATGCACAGCAATCATTTCTTAATTGATCTACATTTTATAACAAGGTAGCCTATGCAATTACTTTTGGTCTATGTCTGTATTGTATTCATTCTGGATCATTCTTTAATTTGCTTTCTAATGATGTTGTTTTAAGGTAAAGCAAACTCAGTGATTTATTTTCACAATGAATCTCTTTGTTTACTGTGGTCTTTGACTGTGTAATTAAAGTGGGATATTTCACATTAATCCAACAGCTCTCCTAAATACCAACACCAGATTTTCTCCCTTTCTCTTGACCGCCCACCTCCTCTCCCACATATGCACAAAGACATTTTCTACACCTGTTGGTTTAGCCCACCCGCAGGTTGAGAGACCCTAAAGTATTTTTAACAGTCTCTCCTGTCCATCTGTTCAAAGTGGCCTTTTTATGCTCTTCAGCCTGCTTGGCATGTCTCCTTTTAGCCTTGCAAGGCCAACCAAATGCAGTTTTCTCCCCTCCCCTCGCCACCAAAATACTGTCTCCTTCATCCTTTCCCCCTACAGCTGTGTGTAAGGAGTGAGAGGGGGTGGAGGTTTTCCCACAGCCCTTTTGCTTCGCAGTGGCTTTTTAAATGTCCTTTTCTACTCACTCTGGCCTGGGACAGGATGGCCTGGGCCTGGGCTTCTTGGGCTGACACAACTGGACCCTTCTCACCATCCCCGCCAAAACGGAACTGTTGAACACACACATACATCAAACTATTTATCATGCTGTTTATATGAATAATTCAGGAACCCAGTAATGCACCTTATTATGGAATTACTGTATATTGGTAACATATTTAGGTAGCTGGCATGTTTTCTTTTGCATTATTCTGAACACGTACTGGCAGCATCAGCATGGTACCAGGGGGTCCTGGCACGCCATCAGCACCAGGCAGACCAGCACGACCAGTAGGACCCTGTAATAAAGAGGAGACAGCCAGTTTATACAACTTTCTTTAGATTAACTGTAAGATTTGTGTAGGAAATATAATATAAATACAATTATATATTTAAAAAAAAAAGGACAACATGATGATGGAGATTTGGGTTTCCTCTTCTTGATTGTCAGTGATTTGAAAAATAAAAATTACCCATCTGCTTGTATGTATAATGTACACGTTTTCTTTCTGAAATAGCTGGATACAAAAACTGACATTTAAATTAAAGCAGTCTTACTTTCTACCCTGCACTGTTCTACATATGCACTTTTTATTTTTAATTGTTATTAATACCGATTATAAAAAAACACTCTTGACTGCTGTTAGACGGTTCAACAACAAAGACTAGTCAAAATGAAATAATAAAACAACAAATTCTTATAAATGCTGTGTTGTTTTTTGGAAAAATGTCCCTGATCCTATTTTGTTTTCGTTTTAAATTGTGCTTTTTCATTTAATGTTGTGGAAGTAATATCTAATATATAATGGAAACCCAAACATGAGGAGACACACAGATGAAGCTGTAAAGGCTGGAGGTGTGCTGTTTGTACATTTGATTAACATATGCTCCTCCTCCATCACACAGACTGGGCCTGTGTATCTGTAAACCACACTTCTGTCTACAGTCCAAAAACAACATCCTTTCCCACTAAATCTGGTGCACATGTTTGTGTTTGAGTGTGTGTTGCATGTTTGTGTTTGAGTGTGTGTTGCATGTGTGTGTTTGGGTGTGTGTTGCATGTGTGTGTTTGAGTGTGTGTTGCATGTGTGTGGAGTGTAAAATATGGATACCTCTTACTAAAGGAAAAGCAACCAAATATCTTTACTTATCTTCTAATCCTCCAGAGGCCAAAGTAACTGGTGTGTAAAGGTTTCAAACTCACCCACATATTTTATGACTCGATTTCTCGGCACCCATATTAAGTTTTAGTATGAGCAGTAACAATTGTGAAAACAAAGGATGTAGTGGAGCTTGTGAATGCCAAATAAATTAAATAAATTCTGTTTTAATAAGAGACCCATTGGAGTGCTTTGTTGAGCATAATGGGGGATTGCAACGCTTGTTTATGTCAAATTTGACATACATTTAAGCCAAGGTATGGTGATTGTCGAACTGTTGAGCAATATTCACTGCTCCTAGTACTAGGATGGGTTAAATGCAGAGACCAAATGTCACTGTGTGTGCTGTGTGCATGAACATGTGTGACCTTTAAAGAGGGTTTCATCCTCCAATTCTATCTATCTATTCTTAACTGCTGTCCGGCAATCAAAAAACATGTTTTATGGAGCCATTTGGAGTCAATAGTTGTATTGATCTTTATTTTAATGAAGCACATACAGCACTGGGCTACTTATCTTTTGTTTATCAAATTGATTTCTGATAAGAATGTCTGACAGGTGACGTTTTGAAGGGATGAAAAGATTAAATTCAATAGATTATTGTCTGTAGTGTTAAATGCTAACACATGGAAAGTAACTAGCGTGATTTCAATAGATAATGTAAATTAACTTTAACTTTAGAAGGACATTTATTTAAACAATACGCAGCTGAGTAAGAACATTTTATGTACACAATTATTAAATGTATATATATATTACTTACACAACTGTAATTTGACATATGAGTCCTAGCATGGATTAGCCAAGTGAATGATCTTCCAGTTTGACCTTGGTTGGATTATTTTCGAACACACATTATATTTACGGCTTGAAAATGAAAATAAATAAAAAGACCACTCACCCTGTCACCAGAATCTCCAGAAGGACCTGGGGGTCCCTGAAGGCCTGAGGGACCTGGAAGACCCTAAAAAGACAACGCTCAGTTAGCACACCACTAGCATGCGATCTTAATAAATTCTGACAGCAATGGTGTATAATTAGGCCCAGGTGAAGAGCACTGACTGATATTGATGTTTTAACAGTATACTCACATATGGGCCTGGGGGTCCAGGGGGCCCTTCAATCAGCATGCCCTTTAAAAACAAACATTTTGTTTCTCATCACAAACACTGTCCTGTGTAACATCAGGCAAACTGCACATTTTGGATATTTCAAATGATTATATTTATCATTACTTACTTATTTTTTGCAATTTCCAATAAAAGTGTAAGAAAAGCTCAAAGTAAATAATACATTGGCCAAAAATGATACGATCACATCACTTACAGGCTCAATGACAGCCGGATCGCCCTTGTCTCCCTTCTGGCCGAAGGCTCCTTCAGCTCCAGCAACCTGTAGCAACAAAGCAAGCACAGAGGTGACATTCTTCACACACCAGCTTTAGTCCACAGGTGAATGAATAGCAAAGATGAACAAGGAGGAGGCCGTTTAGCCATCAACAAGAAGGGTTAGTGTCTGAACAATCAATCATTTCATCACTACTGCAGCTATGTCAAAGGGAGAGAGGGAATCAAATAATGTTAGTTGTGATGAGCAAGAATAAACCTCTATGTGCCCAAAATGGAGCAATGCATTGGTGATCAAATAACATTTTGCTCAACACCAACAGGTTATTTTTGTCATGCAAACCTCACGGAATAATATAAAGAGAGACACTGCCTTACAAAACACCTGTATTTCATTAGTGGTAGAATAAGTTCAGCTGTTGAGTGTTTATGTCTGTTGTGGGTGTAAAATGGGAAGGATTAAGAGGTTCTTGTCTAAGAATGGGGGGGTGGGGTCAGTGGTAATAAAAACCATGCAAGACCATTTAACGTCTTGTCTATGCAACACTAACAATACTGAGGCCAAAATCACAATAACAAATACAAATAAAAGTAGAAAAAATAAGCATGTACGACATGAAGTAGGAGGTCTAATGTTTGACACGGGAGTGAAAGGACTCTATACCATATGGTTTACAAGATCTGTGAGAGTGAGAGTGCACTGTGAACACAGATGCCTTTGAGTTATGGGCTAATTTAAGTGCATACAGGGAGGGATATGTCAAAGACTGGTGGCTTGTAAAAATGGCAGAGGAGAAGAGGGAGGGATCAAATCTGACTGTTGAGATAAGGGGTGTGGAGGGGGCGGTATGGCTCGTTGGGAATGTATTGGTGGTGCACAGGTTGGGTCCACATACAATGACAGAATGCTATGAGTGGAGAAACATGAATTTGGAAGAAAGAAGACAATAATATGTGAGTGTATATAACTTTTCTAAGCATACACTGTATAGTATGCTATAATGCGATATACTAAATGAAGATGTAATCAGTTACACCCATTCAAGGTAAACACAGAATCATGCATTGTCTCTAAAAAAAAATCACCAAACACACACCAGTAAGACAGCAGCAAGACCCCACACTCAACATGTCAATGACACATTGCTAAGCAACCAACTAGAAAGGCGTGCACTTGAAGACAGAGTGAGTCCATAACACAAACAAAGTCGCGTGCCGTTCATGCTCACACCCCTCAGTCGCCAGGTTAGGGTGTGGTACTTACGGCGCTCTCAGAAAAGTCAGTTTCAGCAGCGACCCCAGGCCCCACCTCCTCATGGTAGGTCCCCGTGGGTTTGGGCCCCGCCCTGCCGTACTCATCATATGCCCCGTAATCATACAACCTGCTGTCAACCTCGCCCAAGTCATACTCCTTTAGGTCATAATCCTTTAAGTCATATGCTTCCGCACCAGTGTCCATGTTGTCCACTGTTTCTGGGACAATGGGCTCCGGTGCAATGGCTGTGGCCTCGGTGACATATGCACCGACAACATCCTCCTCCACAGCCTTCCAGGTGTTAACCAGGCGGAGAGGGGGGAAGTAATGGTGACCAACCAAGGAAATAGAGATGTTAGTTAAGCAATCAAGGCAAATTGTCTACTTTAAGATGTTATTAAAGCAAATTCAAACTTCAGCATGATATGCAAAATAAGGAATTTAAAATAGCAACGGTAACACATTATTTATACCAAGGAGAACATTTTGGTTTTTTGGATTGTAATTATGAGATTGTAATTTGAATATAACCAAAGGGCCAAACTATAAAGTGTTAAGTACTGAAGCATACTAATAAAAAGTACCAATAAGGATCATTAATTATGTACAACCCTGTTGGTAAACCCTTTCAAGATAGACGTTACCAACACTATATGCTCTCTTAAATCGCGTACTCAAGGAATACATTATTGCAGCATTTCCTACAGCAATACTTCAGTTCAGTAAAAATGTATGTTATAACTCAAAGGAATAAATAAAGTGTTACCAAAATGACTAAATTAGATAATGATAAGATGATCAAAATGTTGTTTACTACACATATCAAAACATATGGGATGTTATTTCAGCCTTCTTTTCTTTCTTATCATACACTCATACATGATAAACTGCTACAGACAGTATCAGAAAGAAAGGCTGAAATGGATGTTTGAAATGACACAAGCAGCAATTAGCAAAGGACAATTTATCAATCATCAGATTGTAGTAGCTGTGCAGATATATAGAGTGCATAAAAAAAACACGTTTGCTACTTTGTTGATTTTTCATCAGATCTGTTTTGATAGAATTAGTTTTAAGCAGCTTCTAATATTACCCTGGTACACTCACACACTGTATTCTGCACAACTGGTACAATCACCTGGCAATTTGTGTTCTTTGATTCTAAACTGATCACTGCTTAGCGTTAGCTTTGAAGAACAGCAAAGTGGATGCAATTACCGTACACAATATTGCCAGTACTCCATCTTGCTGAATTAGTTATATTTGAAATTGCCTGTAGAATGACATCCACTTGTCAAACACATTGGTAGATGTTGCACATTCATAGCTGGCTGTGAGCAGTTTTAAGGCTTGGTGACACAGCTCTTTTAGAGGTAATTAGCAGAACTAGAGATCAAAACCAAGCCTAAAATGTGATGGACAGGGCATATGTTGTTAAACAGATAATCTCCACTATCAATTACTTTAACTAGTATTAGCTAATAGAGGCTCTGTCTTTGTCAACCATGTTATGCCTGGATTAGGCTGCAAATCTTGTCAAATCTTTTCTCACATGTATCTTGCTGAGAACTGAACAAAATCTGCAGCTTTATCCAGATATATATGACATGACCTGACAGGAAGCTACAAATAATCGCCACATTGTCCACTGCATTATGTAGCATTGCATCCTTGTAAATGCACATGGTGTATGCAGAAGACAATGTTTGTTGCAGCTTTTTAACATAAAAAAAAAATCTGCCCACTGTCCATCAGTTCTGTCAAGCACAAAATTAAGTCAAAAGACACATCGATTCATTAGAATGGTTGTGTCTTAGTCATTTCATACCAGATACTTCCTTGGGTCAAAACTTCCTGGCTCACATTTCCCAAAACATCTAACACTGGCTTTTAGAAGCAGATGAGAATGAAGATAAAAATTACCTCATGTGGTCCGCTCGTGGCAAAGGGTGACTGAGTATGAGTATCATCTACAGTTCCGTAGTCAAAGTCTGTATTGTAATCCACTACATTGTTTGGCTGAGTCATGTTGAAAAAAGGAAAGAAATATAAAGCGAGGGTTAACAAAAACGCTCAAACCAGAGGTTATTTGCGAGGGGCCCTTTCAAGCTGGCTACAGACTCTGCTACTTCTACACAAGAGAGGTTAGGGAGCTTTAAGTCTGCCATCATAGATTTTACCTTCAAGGCAGGAAGATCTTGATGGCATTTAGCCTTTACTTTACATGAACCTTTACCCTAAAATTGCCTCTGGGTCGTGCTGGCGCTGTGGCCTGGTAGCCAGGCATCTGTTGTTTCTTCTTAGCGGCCAACTTTTTAGCTGATGATTTTTTGGCAGCAAAGAACTTTAAGGGCTTGGCCTTAGTTTTACTGAGGGACTTTCTGGTCCTCTTCTTTTTCATGGAGACACTACGTTTCATTCTCTGGAAGAGGTAGCGGCGACAAAGACACCAAGACAAACATGGAATATTTAAAAGTGGAAATGATTTAAAGGCACAATCCGGACTGTAGTTCAACATATGTTCCAACCCAACTGTTAGTGCTCCACTTTCCAAGAGCAGCCCATGTACAGTAGTTGGCCTTCATGGTATTCCCTAAAACGTTGACCATGAACATCAACTACAAGGGCTGCGTTTGGAATGTTAACATTAGCTTCATATGATTAAGTTATAGTTGGGTGAAGAGCATGCTGAACAACAATGGAGGACTGGGCCTTTCATATAACACACAGGAAAATGTTTGGACACATATGAGTTTCCATCTGGGACAAATGCACATATAAAAACACACATGATTTGCCTTTCAGCAACTCTTTGGAGCTATTGCAGTAATAAAATAGCCTTTTACACAATAGTTATAAAGACTTGCTGGAATGCAAAATATAACAATGAAAGCAGATGGCAATTACCAGTGAGAGAATAAAACCGATGCAAGGAGGACTGGCACACTGAGTCTGTTTACTTGCACACTTAAAATGATACCTCGGCTAACCTATTGACCAGGTCAGAATTAGAGTAGGTAAAACCATGTTAGGACACCTCGAATATGGCTCATTATTTAAAAGTTGTTTGGCAAATCAACACTTTTGGCTGAAATATTCTTATAACAATATTATTATTAAACTGATTACAGCAATTACTTGAGTATTGGTGTGCAAGTAAACATAATCTTTAGACACACCGACACACGGAGGGATGGGATAGAGTGACAGAAAAAGACATTATAGGAGAAACATATTTTTTCTTTTCCTTTTTTCATTTACCTGTGGTTCAGAATACTCATCGGTTGGAATGGTGTCTGTAGCTCCCTCAGAGTAATCATAGAACTGAGAGTAATCTAAATCATCAGTAGTGTACTAGATAAGTTGAGAGAGAGGGAGAGGGGAGAGAGAGAGAGGAATGAAGGGAGGTTTTAGTGTTAGCATTAGTGCTCTTTCAGCAAGAAGATGATACATGTGGTACATATCATCCTGGGCATGCATCCTGTTCACAGAGTTAAAGCATTATTGTGATGCTATGGTGCATCACAAAGCATAACTTATAACATGTTAAGATTCAGGTCCAAAAATATGTAAAAAGCTTTAGTTAAACAAATCCAAGTGTTTCTAAATTAAATAATGGCCTTATGATGGTGAACAAACAAATAAACAAATGCTGAAACTAGCCATGTGGGTTTAAGCCTTCAGACACGTTAGCAGATGGGATGTTTAAAAGGCTCATAAAACACAGGGAAACAACCGGGAAACCTCAAAGACACCAATACCAGCTGCTTTTCAGGGATACGGCAATGAGACTTCCTCACTGAAAGCATAGGAATTGTAGACTTTAGGCCCTTTAAGTTCAGCAAAATTAAAGGTGTGCGATTTAAGGAAAGTGGTTAATCTACCTCTGTTATATAGCTCTCTTGCAGTTTTTTATCAAAGACGAAACAAATTAAACTATGCAACATCAAAACTCTCAGATAAAGTACATGTGGGAAACCCCAGCTTGTAGTCGTAAAGGTTTATCATGTTATGCTGCAACTTAGAGGTGAAGTCTGAACATGATAGCATGTGCTTTTACAATTGTTAGATTATTGAAATATAGATTGATATCTGGAGTTAATCTGGCACTGACTTTGGTTCAGGCTCCATATTGTTATTTTATAGATTGTTTCATCATGCCCCTACAAATTATTAATAAGCACATTTAAAATAAGTGTTAAGCTGTTGCACTGATGCAGTTTTAAGCGTGTGAATGGTTACATTGGCTAAAACATCTTTGAAATGACAAATAGTTAAACATAGTGCCCTGTGACCTTGGCAGCTGCTTAGTCTTTTTGATCTCTTATTCACAGGAATAAGGATTATAAATATACAGTTTGTGTTAATAAGCTTTTGTAAATTGCAGAAAAAGATCAGAGAAATAGAATTGATAGCCCTATTGGATGCTTTCATTATAACTTCAAACGTAACATGTTACTCTTCATGTTGATCAGTGCTGATGGAAAACCTCATCTTGGTACTGCTACACAGTTTACCATATGCTACATTTTATGTGCAAGGTGCACATCTTGTCAAACCTCCAATTTGACCCTTGACAGCTGATGGAAGACACCTGCTGTGCAATATACAGTATGTCTGCCAATGTGAGAAAATAGCTAAATGCTGTTATTTGTGCAGGTTGTTTCGGGTGAACACATTTCTATTCCACCAAGGATGAGACGTTTGTAATTAGATCAAATTCAAACATTAATATTCATATTACGCTTGTCACAGTAATTGTCTTGCCATTACTAGTGTAAGCAGCCGATTAACGAATTGAAGTCTTAGCTTACATGATCTCATGATTCTCTCTTGTATTATAATTATCCTTATTTATGTTATAATTGTATAATATAAGTTCCAAATATATAGAAAAACCTTATCAAAACATGAAAAATATGTGTTAATCAGTTACATTCATTGACAAATGATGACTAAGAACATCAAACAGCAAAAAGCAATACACGGGTTAAAGTCTTCGACATCTCCTAGTTAGAAAATAGAAATGATCATTTAGGGCACTCAATTAGTTCATTTTTGAATGTCCCCCGCCCTCCCTGGTTGGCTGACCTCATCCTCTGGCTGCTGGGCCTGCAGAGATTCACCGTGGGGGGTTTCACAGTCGGGGCTGTAATGCTCACAGTAGTCATATGCTGCCTTGGGATCAGCCACAATCAGAAGTTGCTGGATGTCACCCTGCAGGAAAGAGAAGAATACACATGTATTACATCACCTATCTTCACACAGGAACACATACAACACACGGATAGTCTACATCTACAATGAAAGTTTAAAAAACATACAGTTGGTATTAGAAATAGGTAATTTAAATTAGATGTATTTGCAAAGGTTGATGAAAACAGATCACTAGCCAGCTGACGAGACAAGGCAACACACACACTCACACACACACACACACACACACACACACACACACACACACACACACACACACACACACACACACACACACACACACACACACACACACACACGTCTCATCCTGCTCAAACATACTGGGTTAAGTGGCATAAATGTAAATCTTAAATGCTATTGAGTCTGGCAGGGCTCCCCCTGTATGATTAAACAGCTTGTACACACCCCACAGAGTCCACACTCACATGGTGCAGGGAGGGAGGGAGGGAACTAAGTTCAGACACTGGAAAGATTATTATTATCAGCGCCAGGGTTTACCTCAGAATATCAAATAAACATGTATCATCAAGACAAAAGCAACACCTGGCATGGCCCTGTGCGCGAAAGGAAAATACTTTTTAAGTGAGGTTTACTCTTCAGCCTTCATGTTTGTTTTATTAGAAATATAAATAATGATGTCAAAATACATGACTTTGTTGTAACAGATGTTTTAAATCCTTGCCATAAATGTCGTGCAAAAAAACTAGTTACATGTTTTCTTTCAGACTTAATTAACAATATTGATACAAGCCACAAAATCCATCAAGATCAAAATCCAAACCATTTGTCAACAGCTCCTCATTTTAAGTTTGAAGTATCTCACAAGACCAGAGGATAACTGATGGTACAATTAGTGTCAAAAGCTATTTTGCTAAAAATGAAGCCTCTACAACTGTCGCTTGAAATAAAGTAAATATATAAAGAAACAATGCACAATGGCTTTGTCTGAAAACTATTAAAATAGCACACAGGAATGAATAAAACCCTGAAAATACATGGTTTGGGAACATTACTGAAGCCACAATGTTCTCTCAATGGTCAGGACACCACAATGTCCTGACACCATTCCAACACTGCCTCACCTTGTTATGAGTCCTACAGCTCACTGCATGAGAGCAAACATATTGGTGAAAGCATCTGGATTTTTCTTTGGAGTCTATAATTAGCCTTCATTCACATTGTAAAGACAACTGGGGGGGTTCTTGGGAGGTGGAAGAAGGGGCATGTCTTTGGTAAGGAAGTTTGGCAGGCGAGCACACGGAGATGCCTGAGCCCAGAGGTAAAATCCTGATGCACTTGTGTGAGCAGGGACACTATATGTTGAAAAGCAGAATAGACATGAGGCAGAAAAACATGAGAGAAATGAAGCAGGCTGCAACATGTCAAGAGAATGTGCGTGTGTGTATCTTCCATGAGTTAAAACTAGATCTATGGATCCTTAACATGCACCTTAGTATAAACATCCATCTGCTAAGGCTTGTCCCATTGGAAAACAAGCAGTGCTCCCTGAAACTTTCAGCCATCCATCAACATCTCATTACACAGCTCCAGTCTGACAGTGGAGAGATTCCTCACTGTGTGCTCAGGAGGGTGGAATTCTGCTTTAACTTGAATGCAACTCTAATAATTTAAGTATATATATTTTATATATATTAACATAACAAATGTGAAACTATAAGCAACCCATCCAGTCATTCTCCAGTCTGAAAGATCAGCTGAGAGTGCAAAAGAACAAATAAATATCACTGTTAAATATAAGTTAAAACCAGCAGCTGTTTAGCTTGAAATCAATAAGCCTGGCTCTGTCTTAACGTAACAAAGTAACTTCCAGCATCTCAAAGTTCACAAATCTAGTCTGATTTATCTGTACAATTAATGGCTCCAGCTTCCCATTCAATGGACACATGTGCGAGTGTGAGAATTGTGCGCCATTTTTAAAAGATATAATAAAACGTAACATCTCTGTTAGCCTTTAAAATATTTACTATTCTGAGTGACCATGAAAAGACAAAGTCGACCTGCCGAATGGGCACGAAACAGCAGGTGCCAAGTCTGGAAAGGCCTCAGCTGAGTGTGTGTCGGTGTGTATACGTGTTTGGGAAGGCTCGACAGAGGAAGATAGATCCAGCTTTGCTCTGAGTCAGGTTGACATGTATTACCTCATGTGTCACCCTAAGACCAACAGTGAATGCTTGAACCCTGCCTACAGTCAGCTCTAATTAGTCCAAGTCTGAGAGCCACCCGTCTGCACACAAATAGTCTGTGGAGACATGGTGTTCCACCGCTGGACCAGATCAGGACAACTGGCACACTTTTAACCGTGTCATGGGAGGATAAGAGCAACATGAAAGACACATTAATTTACACGGAAACAGGAAGAGACATAACCATAAACTGTAGGTGTGAGCAAAAACTCAAGTTTACGGTTTAGAAATAAATAAATAAACGAATAAGATACCCATCTTAACTTACAGTATAAAAAGTAATACACATAATGTGACAGAAATGGCACTGAACAGGTTTTTCCCTCCAGTGTGCTTGAAACTTCTTGCTGAAAATAAGAGCCAAGTTACCTAACAAACAAGAGCAATCTCACAAAGCCTAAATGAAGCAAGTAAGAAACCGGTGTGAACTCGGGGGGCAACCCAAGAGGGATCCAGAGACAGACGGGCAGGGATTTAGAGAGAGCAGCTGGGATGGTAAAATATGTTTTGTGCTGGGAAACACCTGGGGATAGTTATGCTGAGGCTCTGGGTCTGTCTTCCATTGTGAACTGCTGAGATAAAAGCCCATGGCAACTTGGAGCAAAGCCAGCGTTCTAAAATATGCCCCTCCTGGCTACAGCATAGCATAGTACAGCAGAAACAGACCCACGAGGCTGTGTTAATGACCGCTGTGTGAGAGGTCAACAAGAAAAGAGAGAAGCTAAAACAGGGAAGCAGGTTCAAGATCAATAGGTGAGACTTGTGAATACTTGTGAAAATCCATTTGCTAACATTACTGTTACATCCTTTGTTTTGTTTAGCATTTTTGCCTAAGTTCACCTCCATTGAAGCTCATCAAGTATTTAAATACATCATTAACTTTTGAAAAACTTTTAAGGGCATGACAATTCTTACTATCAGAGCAGACATTACATTTGAAAGTATAAATCATTGTATTATAATACACTGTAGGATTTTTATTGAGATAAGTGCAGCATTCAGTTTTCAAATGGAGGCCTGGTTTATCACTCAAAGATCAGTCTTGACTGTGCTGTCTGTTTCGAACGATCTGTAGTGACCTCATCTTGGGATACCATTGGATATAAATACTCAAAGTGGGGTCAAAGGTTACAGCAGTGCACGGGGTAACCACAGAGGAGCTGCATGAAGACCACCTCCATGTCTTGAATGGTCATTACACAGCACTGTTTAGTTTTGTTGTGACAGATAGCTCTTTTGTTTTTTCCTCGACTAAAATCCAACCACATGTTGTAATTACAGGGCGAGGGCAGGGCATCACACTGGACAAATCAAAACACAAGTGGTCGTCACCATTGGTCCTTTGACGTACCTTTGCCCAGGGCAACAAACCTATAGTCCAACCATAGCTAACTGTAATTAGACAGCACTATACAACAATTAGTCACTTCTCCAAAGCCTATACAGTAGGGTGTCTCTGGCAAGAGAGGAGAACTGAGAGACCAAGAAAAGGCAAAAGGGAGTTTCCACACCAGACAGTTGCAAGATCAACTCTGTAAAACATGAGATCAGAAGATAGACAGAGAAGAGCTCATTTAAAATATAACATTTTAGACCGCTATATAGTCGTTCGACTGTTTTATGGTATTATAAACCATTCACATTTTTCTTTTGCTTCCAGCTATCCAGGCTAGTAGACAAATCACTATCTTGTTTTTAAAGGCAACTTCTGGCAATACTGGTGGTGTGGGACTGAGACATAGACCACCTCAGCCCAATGTAGTCCTTAAGGTAAGACACTTGAATGTGTGGAGGAGTGCACGGATGAGTGTGTGCTTCCTAGAAATAGAGGGAATAGGTATGTAAACTAGTGTGCTCAATTCAGACAGGTAATGTCAGCGAGGCATGAATAGACGGTCTCATGGCTTTGGCACGGTAGGGAGGCCTCAAGGTGGAGGGGGTGGAGAGGGAGGAGGAGGTGGTGAGCAGGGGTGACTATGCGGAGCGAAATGAAAGACTCCCATTCATCTAAACCAGATCCCTTTGCGACGGTGGTCTACTCAAACGTGGGGCAGGTATGGCATGAATAGACGTTTATGAAGAATGTGGGTCAGCTTGTGAAAGCGAAAGTTAGGGTTTGAATAAGGGGGCAAATGTTTTATTAACACTGAAGTGAATTTATTACAAAATCTACCACTTGAAGAATATATCAAAAAGTCACTGCTATGAGCTTAATCCATGCATTTTGTGCATTCCTACAATTTTGCTATACATTGCATTGTAATCTAATCATGTTTCGTGATAGACTGAAACAAAAAAATAGATGTGAGAAAGAGAATCAGAAAGCCAAGGTATTTCCTTCCTTGGTATATCCCAGCATGCATCATGCCCTGTGGATCTCTGAGGAGAGCAGGGACAGAGAACAGACAGGAGACCTGTTCGAGGAACCACACAGAGAAGACCCTGTTAACTGACTTATGGCTCCTATTTTCAGCCCTTCCACCGGCCTACCTCTGACTGGACACACAGTTTCATACAAATGTTGGTTTCACTGCCCTTTCATAAATCTAATCCAAACTGACAGGAGATATGAAAGCAAATCTGCTCATAAAACTTGCACCTAAATAGTCTCTAGCTCTAACTTGATGAATATTATGACACAGTCTCCAATAAGATATAAACTGATTAGAAAATGTCTTCCTAATAGAGGTCCATTTTAAGTGATATCAGTCGAAAAAACACACTTTTTGACTTTATATGCATCATTATACGAATCATAAAACATTTAAAATGTTTATATACAGTATGATGAAAATATATTTTCAAACAAATACCATACAACACTTTCCTATAAAGTAAATTGATATTTCTTTCATTATCGCATCTGACGTAGGATATTACCAAATGTATCTCTGAACTCCTGCATGATCCAAATAACCTCACTAGCTGAAAACATGCAAGACAAAAAAATGTAAAGTATGGTATAATGAGCAACACAGAGATTATACAAAAAAAAGATTGTGGACACAAACAATGGCTTTAAATATACCAGACCCTTTGTTCCCAGGAGGATGACAAAGAATGCCAAAAAAAAGGCTTTAAAACAAGAGCAGCAGCGTCAATCATTCAAATGTGGCTTCTCAATGCAGTCTTTACAGCTGACAATAAAGAAACCAGCACCTTCTCAAGCAAACACAATCCTCATACAGCCGTAGTGACGTTTACTTCCCACCAAAGGAGACTATGAGTGTCGTGACCATTCAGCCATTGTCTGTCATTATTTACATCTGCCTGACCCCACGCCAGGCTCCACCTCTGGATAAACTGTGCCTCAACTTTATGTTCAAATCACTGTCTATGGACAAGGGAGAGTGTAGCATACCATTAATGGCTAAAAGTCAATAACTGCCTCCTGCCTATTTTTCAAATCTATTACTTTTCAAAATTATTTTTTTAACAAAGCAGGTAGAGATAGAATAGTAGAAAAACCTTTTGACATTAATTTCCGGGCTCAGAAAAATATTTACTTCAGTGTTCAACACACACTATATGGGAGAGCTAATGTATAGTTGGTGCCAGTTCTCTACAAGTCCAACAAGACCCCCCACCATGATTGCTTGTGGCACAGTGACACCCTTAAGCTTGCAACTGACTCAAACTTACAACTGACTCATTGTAAAAGCAGCACTCATTCTTCTCTAGAGACAAGAAACATGTTCTAATTGACAGAATCATAACATGTTTTTTAAATGTGTATCTTTGAAATAACATTTGACATAACTGCAGTTGCACTTGATAGTAAAAGGACAACTTTTTCCATAGCAGAGATACAAAAATGACACCACTTTACTCCATGTCAATTCAAACGATAATATTAAACCATTCCAAGAAAACATTTGAACAAGGCCACATATTTTTGGTAAACCTATTACACGTGAAACTCCCATGGCACTAAGTGTCTCTAATTACAAGGTAAGGAGAAGCTTTAACAACAGATCTGTGAAATCTGAGAAGTTGACTGATTGCCAACGTGTGCTTTGCAGAAAAACACAAACAAACAAGCAATAACAATGCACAAAGGTGGCAGATTGCATCCGATTAGACATGGCTGAGGTCGAAATATCACCACTTCCATGTGTTAAAGTTTCCGCAACCGACAACTAAGTCCTCTTAGAAATGGTGGCAACAAGCAGCTTAACAATCACACCAAAAACCTTACCTGGAAAACGTCCTCATCCATGATCCTGGTGCCAAACACGGTGATGCCGTTGGTGCTGATGGTGCCATAGTCACTCCTGAGAAGAGGCTTGGTGATCTTCTTCTTACAGTCTACAATGATGGTGACCGTCTGCTTCTCCACACTGATGGCCACACGATGCCACCTGGTCAAGGACACAAAAGGATCCAAGGTCAATAATTGTAGATTCATTATTTGCGAAAGAGTTAGGTTACTAGGAGCACATAGGGCATTGTAAAACATTTTAGGCATGGTAATTACTTAAATCAGAGGTTGCAACATAAACGACACGGTAAAATGAGGACAATTTATTTCTGTGTGGGACAGGTGTTAAGGTAGAAACATGAAAATCCTCACGGACATTACTGTGGTGGTTGATTACATTCTTAGGTAATGTTATCATGACTTTGAATAGGATTATAATCTGCCTTTGATATATCACAACACAGAAGTCCAGGAGAGATGAACTCTGGTGTATCATGTGATTCATCACAGAGGTAAATGCTCTAAGGAACATGAAGTTATGTATGTAGGATATATTCTGATAAACACCGCCCATAGATGCAAAGGGTTAACAGGGGGCACACGTGAGTCTGACACCTCCGTTGCCTCTGGACCATTTGCCACTGCACTTAAGGGCTATTGCATACCAGGCAGCAGCGGACCACATTCTTGCCCCCACACTCTGGCCCTGTTTAACACAGGATTACACTCATTAAACTCCAAACTTAATCCTCCTTCTGGATTACTCGGCATGACAGACGTGGTGAACATTGTGGAAAGTGTGTCTCAGGATCCAGGAAGGCCTGCCTTGCCAGAGCAGGAGACACACAGTCAAAACATTGTTCTGAGGTGGATGATGAGACCTGGCACCACTGTAGCTCAAGATACGCAATATAAGAAGCGTTTATAGCTTGACTGTAACTCTGACATCATATAGATATATCTGTATGGGAAATCTTGCTATCAGAAGAGGAAAAATGTCCAATTCTTTTGAACACAGCTTGATTATACAAACATATTCCAGGGTAGGCAATAGAGCTTGGAGGAAAATAAACATGCAATGCTCTCTGGCCTCAGCAGTACAGCAGGAAGGATTACTTGTCACCTTATATGGCAGCAAAGCAAAGGTTGACAGATTTAAGACATTTGAAGTGCATTATGTTAAAAAGAAGAATAGTAGCATTTCATTTTGAAAAGCATATTTAAATGCAATCTTTTGAAACCCATGTGTGAACAGCTTGAATTAGAAACCTCTGAGGGTATACATTGTACTGTAACAGCTCATTAGAAATCCTCCTTTTCACCTACCCTTCCCTTTAAAGAAAGGATAATGCTCTTTTTAACCTCATCAATTCCATTATTGTGCCTCTCTTTTCAGGCTTTGCAGATCTGTACACAGCCTGAGCTGCAGTCAATGAAGATTTAGAGAAGGCATGGAGCTGGATCAAGAAGTGTTCAAATCCTCTACAGAGAACACTGCTCCTTAGGCCCCGTCCACACAGAAACAAAACGGGTGTTATCTGCTATAGTTCTTTATCGTATGGACGGTTCGTCCATACGAGGCCGTAACGGAACCGCGGAAACGGAGCCCTCAAACGATAACGCATCCCAAAGTGGGAAGGTCTGGTAACGTAACGCTTGCGGCACTGTGTGTACGCCCTAAACAATCAGAGCCCCGCCTCTCCCCACCTCTCCTGCTCACCCCCGCGACATTGCTGATGCGTTTCGCCAACAACAATAACAACAACAACAACAACACAGGGTATCGTTCGTGCTCCAGATGCTACTGACCATGCTACAGATGTTAGTGCAACATCTGCAGCTCCTCTTCCACAACCATCAGCAACAAGTAGACATGGAGAACTACATGAACTACATGTTGCTAAATCCACCGTAGAGAATAACCAGAAGGGCAACCAGGCAACCATGGCAAACATGCTCGGGGGGTCTTCTTCAAGCTTTTTTGATATCGACATCGGTTCGTTTTCATTTTCGTCTCCGTGTGGACGGGGGACTGGGTCACCAAAACTACACATGGGACATAACAGCTCTACAAGATGAACACAATATTGGCTGACTTTCTCTTTGTTGCAATCTGCACATTTCTTCTGATAACTGCGTACATATCATATCAAGTCTCATTGAAAGTTAATTTGGGTCACACAACTATTGTGAGGGTTATGACTACCTTCAAAAGCTGAACTATCCTCACATACCCTGTTCGGCAAGTGAAACAATGTGTAGAATAACACTGGAAGACATTATAAAATAAATGTCAAGTGATGCACTATTTCCCAGCAGCCAATCTGTTTTTGTATGCAATGCAATGTAATGTAAAATGTAATGTAATGTATCCCCTCTTGCCCATGCACACAGGCTCATGTCAGTTAAGCCGAAGCTCTGAGCGAGAGTTCTGGGATTTCTGAACCTGGGAGCAGATAATCAGGTTTATGCTAAAAGGTTTGGAGCGCTGTTTCTGGTTGGGTAAGGTAATCCAAAGGGGTAAAAAAAAAGGAAGTTTGAGACTGCCCCTTTCCCTCCTTCCTTTCCCCCCCCTCTCTAAAATAACAGAGGCAGTGAGTTCATGGATGAGGTCAGGTTGCCCATAGCAGTCCCTGCTGTGCCCAAATAATCCAGTGTCTCCCTGTCTCTGACCTGTCTCTTTGCCCATGGACCCATGATGGGATGGATTATCCGGTCATGAGCACCTGTGGCGCAAAAATGGGAAGATGTTTTTTTCTTACTTCTTTCAAGAAGAACAAATTAGGGAAAGTGTGTTCTTAGCTGATAAATAAAATTAAGTTTTAAGATGATCAAAATGACTCCACCGACAATAACAATGTGAAATCCATTTTTATCTCAGACAACAACTGTACCCCCCTCCCTGCAAGCTGCAACACCCATTCCTTCTGAATCAGCTTAAACGATGAGTCGGAGGGTGTGTGGGTTAGTTTGAGTGTTATATTACATGAGTGGATGTTTGAGCTTTGACTTACTTTCCATCAGCGAGGTTGAGAGTACGGAACAGAGGGTAGTCCTCCGGCGCTGGCTTGCCGGTCTGATCCTCATACAGGAAGACAGGAGAACGTCCCACCTCCACACCCAGCTGCTGGACTCCCTGCTCATCGTAAATGGACAGCAAGAAGGACTGGAGGCCGGATTTGGGGCGCACTGTGGTCAGGATGGAGAAGTCCTCAGGAAAAACACCTCCTGCACGGCCAGAAGGGGAGGGGCGGCAAACAAGGTGAATGGGTTAGAGGTATTTAGAGGACACTTCAGTATAACTAGTTAAAAAGTATAAATCTATTATAACAATAATATTGTGGTCACATAACATTGAATTCAATGCAACAAGACAACTACTTTTTGTTTGTTTGTAATAACTTGTTTTATTACACTGTACGGTAACACTTATCTTTAAGATTATAATGATGTGACCTACAGCTTTCACACATCTTCAATTCATTCTTTATAGATGTCTCGTATGACACTTTATTAAAACACAACTCATTATTTTGCGCCGTCGTACAGCTCTGTTGGTAGAGCAAGATTTGCTCAGCCTTGAGTCTTACTTAACAAGACACGATCAAAAGAAGAATCCACTGTCAAAAGACACCTTTGAAACACACTTACTAGTAAACACAGAGTGGATGAGAGATGTTAATGATGAAAAGTTGATCTTACCAGGGAACAACTGCGTGGTGGGGGCACTGATCTGGACCTGCTTGGCAACTCTGTAAGCTGAGTCCGGCTTTGATGCTCTTCGGTTTGTGCAAAGTCCTGATGTTTTCGTCACTCCTTCGGGGTAATTTTGAAATTCTAATACATTTAGCACGTCCACTGGCTCTGCTGATGGGGGGACACATACAAAAAGAGTTAGGTCATAGCAATGGTTGATGGGTAACAATATTGAAAATAACATGCATACTGTATCAAAGTATGTTATTGTAAGTTGGTTATATGGTATATTGTTATACTGTTAAAGGGCAGTGATAGTGTCAATGCATTATTCACGTAAAAAGGGAAGACTAACCCATCTAAGCTGTGGAACATTTGACAGTTACCTTCACTATGTCCCTCCTATACCGGTCCATCGATCATTAAAATTGCACTATAGCGCAGTATCATAGACACGGTATACCCAATTAATGATAAGAACAATATACCCCCCATTGAGCATTACATGTTTAAAGAGTTTTTTTGGGGGGGAGGATCCTTATCTTCCTGTGGTTCTACGGGCTCATTTAACGGGACATTTCTCAGTCAATGCCAACCAATGAGCACAAGGAGCAATGTGCCAACATATATCTAGTTTACAGTAAAACACCTGGATAGGTTTACCTTGATAAGGCTCTCTGGGTTTTCCATTCTTTTCAATCTGATTCACTTTGTATAAAAGAGCCTGTCTGGTGATGGTGCCCATAGAGACCCCTGGGAAAGGATTATAATCATGCATTTTCATCGAAACACCCTCACAGTATCAACCGTTAGCTTGGTTAATCTAATAAAGGGAGAAACCAAAGTGCTGCAGTATATGCACTTTTTTTTTTACTACTGTAATGTAGGCTATTTGTAGCTGGAAGAATATTATCGATGCAAGGTTGAGACAAGGTTGATACTTGACAATGTTTTCGGTTAGTGGGAGACCACATTTTGATGCTAAGAACATACTGTGTGCACTATGAATGAAGCCCCACATAAAAACTTCAAAGCCATATCTTAAAATAAAATAGGCACTCCATTCAGTCCAGAGAGCAGCTTTATCCCACCAAAGCCAGGTAATACAATGGAATACTGTTACATGGAATTGCACTAATCTGTTTTTGTGGGGCAAATTAGCATGCAGAGGTGTCTGAAAGCATCAGAAACTATTTTCCTACAGCTCTAAAACCACTGTTTTGGTTGGCATGTAGAGGTCAAATCCTTCAGAAAGTTTTTTGAACTTCTTGATACAAGGGGGATCTTAAAAAAAACGTGTGATGTTGCTCTCAACACTCGCTGGTCAACATTCCATCTGTGGCATAGAAAAGCTCATTAAGAGCCTGTTCCAGTCTCTTTGGAGAAGCATGTGCTTTGGGGACAAGTCTCTTTTTCAACATGAATATATTCCTGCTAAATAGAAGCTTTTAATATCACTTAATGATCCTGAAGGAATTGTCAAATAAAAGGGCTTGTCCTACATCTGGTCTCCTTATCTTCAAGTACCTTATACACCTTCAATGGACCAGATGTATATCATGAATTAAGCAAACCAATCACACATATACTCGCAAAAGCAATCTTAACCTGTTGGTAAAAGATGTATGACCTTCTAAGGGAAATCTGTGACATGGTTCAGCTCCTCACTGCAGCAACACAAAAGCTTATAAAAGAACATTTATGTAAAAACATTGTAGAAAAGTTCAAGTTGAGAGCAAAATCAGCTCCATATGAGGGCCATCACTAAGAAAACTTTTTTGAAGCTTGTAAGGATGAACCAGCTACTTACTTTGGAGAGTGAACTGAGGACCTCATTGTGAGTTCCTGCAGAGTTGCTTTCAGTTCAAACTCCAGGAATCATATGTTCCAGATGTGGCAATTTGGCCAGGCTACGACCCTCACACAGAGGTGCTGAGGAAACGTCAATACTGACCAATCCATTAAGGTTGCCAAATGAGTGTGCACAGGTTTTAAAAAAGTGCATCTGATGAGATGGTGTGAGTTTGCCCTCAGGGCTGAGCAAACAGGCCATATGGAAACAGGCCAGCAGAACCCAGGTGGCACGAAGGGATGGACCTACCTACGTCTGGAAAAGAGTGATCATTCTATCCAACCCTAAGTTCAGTCAAGCCAGCCTCTATTGTTCAGTTGTTAGAGCATCTGAACATCATTATGCAAATGGCATGCTGAGAGGGAAGGTGCGGTGTCAAACATTACCATAAGACATACATCTACTAATCTGCATCATGTTCACGGGTGTACATTGATGTAAACAGTGTGTTCCAAGAGATAACAACACCTGCTCTAGGACAGAGGCCAACAAAACTCTCTGTCTCAGCTCATGCTTTATCACCTAGTATGTTAGACTTGAGCAAACTGATACCATAAATACCCCTCCTGTTGTGTCATTTTCAGCTCTCACATTTTAACAGAAAGGTACAATTGGCAGATAAACAGAGGACCTTTTCACCTGCAGCTCCCTTAGACTCTAATAATATCTTCAGCCAGAATGTCTCTCTATATATCCCCCCCTCCTCGCTCTCCCACTCTCCCTCTCTCCTTCCTTTAACTTCCACTATGCTGCCGGCTAAAACAAGACAGCTTTATGCTGGTGTCATACCAAAGAAACTTTACAGAGACCAACCCAGTTTTTCAAAGCATTTCCCCCCCTTGCTTTTCCTCTCATTTACTCCTTTTACTGTATGCCTCTATATAACTAACAGGGCATGTTAGTGTTTCTTTTTTTCACCAATCAGGCCATGTTGCAGAAATAGATCTAAATGTAATCCTACACATTTCAGAGTTTGAGTGATGATTTGCAGTTTTTGTACAACTTCCAGCTGTGGTCTATTAGTGGAGGAAAAAGGGCTTGTTCATTTGATTCATGATTTACAAATGAATATGGATATGTGACAGCTACACAGGACAAAGGTCCAGCAAGAAGCTGATTAGCTGATGTTCCCGGGTTAGCACGTTAGGGAGAAGGCTCTGAAAATGCTAGCTTTGTCTCCTGGAATGTACATGCCTGCGCCCCAGGGGCTGCGAAAACGTGTCTGTACATTGCTAGATGGAGTGGGCACCCTACAGAAATGGTTTTGGTTGACTGAGACCCTTGAACACAGAATGCAGCAGAATGTTTAGGATAAAATATGCAGTAGTTGATGTGTTGTAGAGGTGACATCAGTATCTTCTGAGTTAAAGCCTAGCAGGAAGCAAATGACTTTAAAAAGAATGTTGTCAAATTAATCAAATCAACAATACTTGATTTGTGCTGTACAAATTCTAATAACAATAACACTGCATTAAATCAAATTGTGGCCATTACTTGCTTTAACTAAATATTTGGTTGAAAGGTTGAGATATCTGACTACTTATGTGCTTATCAAACCTACCCAAGTGGAAATAAAAAGGTAAATGAAGTCTCTAATTCTGTATCTAAATCTGTTTTCAACAATAAATCCTTGCAGAATTGTCTATAAATGAGGTGTGAGGCCTATGTAATCCTGAACCCTGTGACTTGCAGCTATTATAGCTGTAGGCTAGGCCCATACGCAGGCCTGCTCTTTGAAGGCTCTGAAATCATAGGGAAGTGCAACAAGGACCATCATCAAATAACTGCTCAGTACTTAGAGGGGAAGCATTCCCACCGCTCACACAACACAGCCTTGTCCAGCAGCCGACAAAACATCTAAGTGCAAAGTTGAGGGCAAGAGCTGGGCACTGGGGGGGTTGCACAAGCCAGCTTTTGGGCTTCAGTGTGGACCAGGGCAGTGTGGAGATAGGGTGAACCTGCCTGACCACTTAGCCCACTGCAGACACCCAGGGGCTTTGTGATATATTTTATTAATCCCTTACAGGGAAATGTCTTTGAGGGATCTATGGTTTCAGCTCAAGTCCACATCTGTAAGTAGCATGTTATCAAAGTTCAGGTTCTGTCCAGTGTCGTCTGGCTATGAAATCCACCCAAATAACCATGTCCACATCCACCTAGCGGACCATAGTGCAAACAAAGAGCTTTCTTTCAGCCTAAGTGAATCTTAAAAAGTAGAGTACACTGCTCTGCTCTCCATAAACACATACCAGAGGCTTAGGATGAAATTAATTGGACGAGGTGTTTCATCTTCTGAGAGGATGCTTTCCATTCATGCGTAAAAGTAGCCCGCTGTCAAATCTGTGATAATGATTATTGTGTTCAAGCCACAACATATTTGCACCTTATGCAAGTATCCCCTGATAACATGTACTGTATACGTTTGCTACCGTTTTACTGTACGTTACCGAAGTCTTTTGTTTGGTGTATTCCACATAACGCTCAATCATACAGGTGGCAATAAGGGGTATTCTCGCTTTAATGTTTCTACTCTGGTTGTGGAACGGTGAAAATACACGAATGTAAATGACCACGAAGCTACCGTGACACCGATGTGTCCAGGTACATCTCCATCACAGTTACCGAGTTATCCCAGCCGGTCACCCTCCGTCCGCTTTCGGCCAGATAAAGTTCGAGGCGTTTAATCCTAATAATCTTACCTGCTCTGACATGGGTAGCTTGTAGAACCAGGGTTAACGTGATGAAAGCGGTTACAGTGGAATCCATAAGCCACCTTTTCGTTTTCCACCTTGTGGACCACCTTTGCATCTCCATGGTCGCGCCGACAATTAAATAAAACTTTTGAGCGACTTCAGGTGATTTTTAGTGACGTCCCTTCCACAATTCCAAATGACGATGAAAACTGTCCTACAAAAAAGCCATATGTGAGAAGTTTCAGCCTCTTCTCTCAGCCACACCGAGGCCCCCGATCCTCCTTTCCAGTGCCCAGCCTTCAGAGTGAAGGAAGTCGGGCTTTAACCATAACGCGCAGAGTGCAATCGGTACACTTGGTGCGTCCACGGGCAGGAGGGCTGGGCAAGCTCCACAAACCGGAGCCACGGTTAGAGGGAAGTGACAAGGGAGCCAGCCCCCGATTAGCAAATCACGGGGCTGGAAATTCTCCTTCGGGTCCTCCCATTAGCTTTGTGTGTGCCCCCAAGTCTCTCCCGAGAGCACTGAGTAAAGAGATGAAAAATAAAACCGTGACAAAGTTGGGAACGACCTGAGAGTGATGAAGAGGCAGGATTGTTCATCAAGAGTGTATATTAGGCTACTGATTATATCCTTGGTCCACTAATCTTACACCTCCTAAACTGGCACATAAAACTGCAGTTATTTGCAGCATAAATACAATATTAAGTGAGTAAGTATGCATAGATTTTTACATTTACTTTATGTATAAACCTTTTCACATGGCGACATTGTGTATAGTAGCCCTACACCACAAAAAACTAAAATGCAACAATCATGTTAAATCTTCTCCATAATGAGCTCAATTTGATTAGCATTTGTATGGTGTGGTATGAGAGGAAAGCATTGCACATGCCACATTAAACTAATGGAATTCCTAAAGACCTCTCAATTTTTCTCTTGTAGACGAGCTACATGGATTAGGCAACTTGTTTTGTTTCAATTGGCAAACTTCCTCTACTGTCTTTAGTGGTCTATAAAAGACAGACATGACATGTAGCCTATACTATAACTTTTGATCAAACTAAATGTATCGAAGCTCCATACCAATTGTTGTAAATATGCCTAATTCCACTTTCTCTTTTGCAGCCTTCAAAAGCTTGCTTCATATTCACTTGCCAGCTCAAAGGAAACATGACTATTGACAGGCCTGATATACAATTGGTAATTTAAGGGCATTTCCACAACCTATGTCGCATGGGGTTGTGGAAATGAGGCTTGTGCACCCTGACAATGACAGTGACACAAAGAAGCAGGAAAAACAAATGCAATAATCTGCAATAAACCGTGTGAGATTAATCAAACTATTCCCAGACCGACTTTTGGACAACCCTAAAGACGATAAAGGATTCAAGGATTCCTCATCTAATATGACCTTTTAGAAACAGGGGTCACTACAGAAGACAGTCAGCTACTTGTATCTCTTGGCTTCCACCGGTAAAAGCATGGATCCTGACCAGGTTCTGTCTGTCAGCCCGCTCGTCCTTCCCAGCCAGCCAGACTGTTTCCTGCCAAGCAGTATCAGATGCTCCTCCTGGATGGCCAGTGGCAAAACACAGAGCAACTTCTCTGGGAACAATTGGTGGCTGGGCAGGAAACGTTTTCATGCTACATCCCATCTTCTCATGGTTCAGAGAGCAGGGGGAGTCATTTCCAGTGCTCGCTCCAGTGTGTTTTGTGGCTTCTCGTAGAGGTCCAAGTATTATCGAGTAGAATATCTTTACAATTTGGCGCACAGGATGATTATTTAAAAAAAAATGAAGAAGTGCTTGGCATTGGGCTGACTTTTCTAGCTTAACTTTCTTTACTATTTCCTCAGACAGTTAGATGTGCACTTCAAAAGAGATTTGAGTTCTGACAAGGCACTCAGCATTTGGTGATGCAATTGAAAGATGCTGCAGTGACAGCAGCAGATGGTAGCCTCAGGGATTGTAAAGGGTGCATTTGATATTTTGAGTTTACTGGTTTGATTTCCTGCTGGATGGGGATATCTGGACAAAGAGCAAGTCAAATTCCCCTTCATTCTAGAGACGCCGTCAGTACACTTGCCACCAAATAAACCACTGTTTTTCTGTTAGATGCACATTGTGAGCAGCTGTTTAAACTTGAATATATAATGTCAGTACGTTGTTAGTTATTTTACATGTTGGGTGTTAGACAAATAACAAGAAGTTAGATTGAAAAGCTTTGTGCCTATCAATCATGTTAAAACAGCAATAATGTATTATTCTTAAACAAAGAGCATATCATTTTTTCCCATGATTACCACCAGCATGTGCATGAAATTATAATCAGCCGCAACTATAATAGCAATCTCCCTTTGTCCAAAATTGTTACTGTCCACACTAATGAGATGACCCTTAAACCAACAGATAACCAACCCGAATAAAAGCTACCAGACAAGTGATACATAATCTCTCTAGCAATGCAGTCTACACACTTTCTTTTGTAGTAGTTATAAGGAAGGATTATGTAAAGGAACGTGTTGTTTTAATGCTATGGTAAGAAGTAAGTTGCTGTGCAATAGCTGCGACTGCCGGTGAGAAAAAAACAAAGCTATGTGAGGATTATTTGTTATTCTTATAAATGCATCAGAAACTAGTCACAGGACCAGATATAGCCATCACTGAGTCCAGGTACATTCTGCAATTTAAGCACTGAGTATAAGAAGTAGACCTTTACCCTCTTCAAACTTTGTTTCTCTTATTATTCCGCCCCATGTCCTCCTTTGCTGATAGACAAGAGTCGTAATCGCTACAAACACTAGCCTTTGTTACAACATTCATTTCCTTAAGACAACATATACTCTACAAACACAACTGCATGTACTGTAGCTCTTTTTCTGAATGAAAAATGAAGGAAAGCAACTTTTACTGAGGAATACAAAACCTCAAAGAGATTAGGAGGGATTTGTTGCTTCAATGTTTTGACAGTGAGCAGTTTTAGCTTCATGTTGTCTATACATATGGCCATATCAGGAGACCAGGTAAATAAAGTAGGTAAATAATACATGTTATACATATGTAATACTACATTTGTAGAACTAATCATCCAAGATGGACCCTATAAGAGGTTGACTAATTAATCAGATTACATATTTATTTAACAAATTGAAAAGTACAATCTTAAAAATATCTTGGAAGTACACTTGTGTACGAGAGGTTGTATCAATAGCCGTATGCAATACATACTCAAAACCATTAAAAGGATCACTTTATAAAATGCTAAAATAATCCCACTGCTGCCCTTTATGCACCAAAGTAGCAACAAACCACAGCTTGGCCTCCTACAGCACTTAGTTGCTGATAACTATTTAGTACAACAACACATGATTTACAGAGGCCAGTAACATTTGTAGAAGAAAGACCTTTTTGGTAGAAAGAGACATGGATTTAACATCTGATATTTATATCAAATATATCCTGTTAGTGAATGAGTACTGCATGGTGAAATGAGAATAGTTCTTGTACTTGCCATGAGTTTTACCTGACATGGTATTGAAACAGAAGCACTTTTCACAGGCACACTCAAGCCAACCACCCGCCACTGTCTGTCACTGTTTACACACTGCATAGAGGAGAGTATAAAGAGCTCTTTCTCCAGCTCACTCTAGTCCTCTGTCACACAAGCAAGAAAACGTTCCCTAACTTCACTAACATTATTTTTGGCTATATTTAATTGAAAATAATACACTTTATAATCTTGTACGAATTGGTAAGATTAGTCATCATAGGACTAAAATGCTTTTTTAGAACTCTAACCAGGTATTGGGTAGTTTGAGGTCATCTGTGGAAAGCCAGGCATTTATTTTTAAGGAGGTTTCTTTGCCATGGGTTTTGGTGGCTTCCAGAATTATTTTTGCTCTTGAAATGACTCTTCGTTGATATACAATTCAACGGAGCAGTATCAAACGTGTATTTTGATACTGTGGTCTACCATATAGCACACCAGAATTAACAAAGATTAAGAATATATAAAAAGAGTAGTATTGCTTGAGCTACATAGTGATGAAAAAACTGCGCTACAGGTGTTTGTAATAGGCAGCAGCCTGATGCTGAAACACATCAGAGAAAGGAAGGAGAAATCTTGCAGCCAGACATGCAACCCTTTATATGTCTCAGAAAGGCAGGAATGTTATACACATTGTGGCAGAGGTATCTACATTGATAGCTTTAGCTAAAAAAAGAAATAAATGTAATTTAAGGACTGCTGTGCTGTTCCTGTGTGAGATCACTTGATAATTACAGGGTTTTTTATGCTGTATGATGTACATATCAACCGCATGTGGGAATAATAATTGTTCGAAACCAGATCTAAGGTAAGCTAGTCTTAAAATAATTTAGATCTAAATCTCCGGTTGAACCTTTTTCTTTTATTATTTTTTTTGGCCCTTAAACTTTGTTTTACAAACTACTCGTGCTCCTGAACAATAGTCTAACACAGTCACATGTTTTAATACCGGGCAATTGTGAAATAACATAAAACTTTAGTTGATCTGAAGTTGATGTGAAGTTGATGGGGCTATTGAAAGTTTTGTGAAATTGCTGTGGAGTTCAGCACAATAGCTCTTATGTGATGGCTTCTTGGACAGTTTGAGTGCTTCAACAATTCCCCTCCCTTAATGGAACACTTTCAACCAATTATGAAAATCTGAAGGTAGAACTTTATGTTCACACCACCTGGATGGTGGATCTTCAGTGAGCCCTCAGGTCGAAAATGCAGAGTTGAAGAGTTGCATGAAAAAAAAAACAGATGGTGGACATACTGTACAGTATATTGTAGACTCTCTGTTTCACCCTCCCTATTAAGGGTGGAAGGGTGAAAGTTAGAGGTCAAAGCTGTCAATATAATCTGATTTGGTATGGCTTGGCACAGACCAGAAATTATGTCAAGGTCATGGAAAAATGTGATTAGGTGGTCAGATTCAACAACAACTGGGCTTCAGCAGTAACAACTCAGCACAAGATCATTTTGCAACTCAATATAATCAAATATGACAAGCAACAGTAATAAACTCACAAACTGCTGTTCGATTGAATAATGGCTGCAACACAAACACTTGGACTTGGATTAAAATTCATTCCCAGATATGCACTGCAATGGTTAACCATTAGACATCCATGGCAACACTTGGAATGTGGGTATATTAAATAATAATAAATGAAGTGGCACTTCTCGATAGGAACACAGCAAGTGCCGAGCCTGTCATGAAAAGGCAGTTTA